AAAGAATGTGAATACATTTGGGCAGTCTCTGGGCAATGACAGCACCTATCAGCTGATCCTTACCCTTTGGAAGCACCAACATAAGTTTGTACAAGCACAGTTAGATGAGTGACTATATGATTTTGACAGTTGCCTTAAAGCAGCTACTAATAACCCAAGGATCCTTATCAGCACTCAAGCTAACTATAATCATTATTAGCATAAAGGACTTATCAACATCTAAAGCAGAGATACTGCATCAACTCTGCCAGACACATGATTGTGATATACAGTGGTGCCTTGACTTATGTACGTAATCTGTATTGGAACGGTGGCCATAAGTCAAAACGTTCATAAGTCAAAGCACCATTTCCAATAGGAATGCACTGAAAACAAATTAATCTGTTCTGGCCAGAAAAAAAAATACCTAAAATAAAAAATAAAACACTGCAAGTCCCATGCTGGGACTGCAAAAAACAAAACCTCACCAAAAAACAAAACAACACAGAAACGTAACCTCCCCAGCCCAAACCTACCCTCCAAAACCCACCCAGAACAACTTTTTAAAAAGGAAAAAGTAGCACCTTACCAGTCCGAAATCTCTGTGGAGGCTTCCCGGGCTTCCAAAGCACTGGCACCCAACCGCTTCTTCCTCCTCCTGCGCCGCCACGGAGCCCCTCTTACCCATGCCTGCAACAGTGCTTACTCACAAGTAGACCCGTACCTTCTGCAGCACTTACTCATGAGTAGGCCCACGCCGCCTCTCCTTCCTCCTCCTGCGCCCCAGGAGTAAAAAAGTTCCCTAACCTCCTGCTCTAACTGTTGGAGCAAAAGAGCTACAAAGAAGCAGCCTCTTTGCCACCAATGGTTTGAATTTCCCGCCTTTTCCCCCTGCCTTTTTCCATTCGTAAGTCAAAACTCCGGCTGCAACTCAAAGCAAAATTTTGCCGCCAGAGCTGTTCATAAGTCAAATTGTTCGTAGGTTATAAACCATGTAATGCAAGCTTATCTTTAACACATTGGGAGAGTTTTGTAAGCAAAAAAATTATTTTTAATCTGAGCAGTGTCTGTGAATAGGCACTTGATGATAACATTGGAGAAGCAGCACTAAAATGGGTAGAAACATCACAGCTAGCCCTTGCTCACAACAGCAAACTTTCTCCACCTTTTAATGGCAGAAGATGGCAACCTGGCTAAAGCCCAGAATTGATATTTGCTAGTGAGCCTGTAGCCCAACAGTGCATGAAGTCAGCCTGTACCCCATTTCCAAATACCCATCACCAGCCCATAATGGCCCTATTCATGGTAATGCTCCAACTATCACCATTTCTCAGAAGATACGGTTTTTTAAAAGCCAATTGACAGAAGTTTGGTACAACATTGGGGACGTGGTGGTGCAGTCATAAGATTGAATTCATGCAATGGAGTGAGCCCCCGTCGGTTGTGCCAGCTCCCGCCAACCTAGCGGTTCGGAAGCATGCAAAATCCGAGTAGATAAATAGGTACCACCATGGTGGGAAGGTAACGGTGTTCCTTGTCTAGTCACGCTGGCCACGTGACCCAAATGCTAGCTCTACAGGTTGGAAACGGAGATGAACACTGCCCCCTAGAGTCAGACAGGACTGGACAAATTGTCAAGGGGAATCTTTACGTTTACCTGGTACAACATTGGATGGAATCATATCAAATATTTGTCCAGTCCCCAAGGCCTATGATGAATTCATTGAATCAGTGAAATAATAATTCCAACTGTCCATACTCTGGGGGTTCAGAATCATTACTTCCAACACCTAACATCAGAAACAGTCACCGAAATGAATACAGTGGTGCCTCGCTTAGCGATTGCTCCGTTGAGCGATGAAATTGCTTTGCGATGGACTTTTGGCCATCGCTGGAGTGATCGCTTAGCGATGTCCCCTATGGCTAAAATTCGCTTTGCCATGATCGCAGGGAAGCGATCATGGCAAAGTGAACTTTTTTAAACAGCTGATCGGCGATTCCAAAATGGCCGCCACAAAAACGAAATGGCCGCCGCTGTTTTGCCTCGCTTTAGAGGCACCCAAAATGGCTGCCGCTATGGAGGAATTTCGCTTTAAGGTAAGTTTGTAGCCCATAGGAACGTATTAAACACATTTTAATACGTTCCTATGGGCTTTTTAATATTGCTTAGTGATTAAATCACTTAGCGATGATTTTCCCGGAATGGATTAACATCGCTAAGTGAGGCACCACTGTACTTATTTTTCATTATATGAACAAAATCCTTTGAGCAAAGAAAATACTTTGGCTGGTTTCTTCAGTTTCAGAAACTAGAAGAGGTAAGTGCTTTGCTTTCAGAAACTAAAAGAGACAATTGGATAAAACTCATGAAAGAAATAACTTCTTTGCTAAGGCACCAGAAGTTTTATTTATGTTGACAATCTCACACTTCCTGCGCAGAGATAATTCAGACAATAGAACATCTTCTGAGAGATATATTAAATGTACTTGGCACATATTATGATTGAAATCAACTTAAACCCAGTCTTGCTAGGATTCAGATATGAGCCTTTCATCTGAGAAACAAGGTGTCTCAAAAACGTCAGGTTACCAACTAGATCATTATTGTTTTGCCCCCAAATATCTAGGTGTTTACTTTGGATCATATGTTGACCTGTAAGAAACACTCCCCAATCAGATAGTAAGATGTGTTTACATTCAATGTTTTAGTTGTGTTATTTAACAGATTTATTTTTGGATTCGAAACTACAGTAGTAGTAATTAAGATGATAAGTAAGTTACTTGTTATAAAGAAGTGAGAGACCCATGCTCTGGCTTGGAGACCTCTTAATTGGGAGGTATAGAAAGCCTCTTGGTGAAATTTTCTAATTTTTGAATTAATGCATTCTGGAGAGACCCCAGGAAAAGAGAGATTTATTATGAAGCAAAGGTGGGCAACTTCTGGGGGTCAGAAGTGCAATTTTGTCCTTTCTCCCAATCATGTTCCTGTATGCTGAAAAAAATGGTCCCTTGTGAATTTTATTTGCTCTCTAAACATAATTCCTACAGTTTGCTTTAGGTCTTGTTTAAGAAAATGGAAGTGACCAGCTGTTGCAATCCATGGGTATGGAGATGGTGACATTATGTTTAAAGAACAAGTCATAAAACTGAGAAGAAGATTCTTTTGGGGAAATGTTGGTTTGGTGCAGGCCTCCAAGATCAAGAGAAGGGACCAATGGAAGGATATGCATTAAAGAAATGAGGCAGTTATTGGTATGGAATGTGCAATTGACAATCAGTGAAAGAATGCAGAGCAGAGAAGTGGATTTCATTTTGTAATATCTGAAAAAAAGATGTGCAACAGGATTGCTTAGGCCTCTTTATGCAATTTAATTTTAGTGTGGATGAAATAGCACAAGAAATTAGCACTATCGTAGCTGATGATATTTTGAATTATTCCAGATTTAATTATTGTTTTCAAATGGTGCTGATAGTCTGTTTAGGTGGTAGTGTCAATTAGATTCGAAATAAATTGAATAATTTTGTCAATTATGAGATGATTTTTATCCCTTAAGTAGTTGTTCAGTTTGAACTGCAATCATTAATTTATAATAAAGATAAATTTGAAAAATATGGAATGTGTGAATCTAAAATTTATAGATTAAAAAATCTACATGAAGAAATGACAAATTATGCCTTACAAAACGAAGAGCAATATAAGAAATTAAAATAGCTCCAAATAGACAAAACTGCAATTTATTTCAAATCCAATTGCTATGACCCAAATAATTAGATTATCAACATAATTTGAAAACAGCAATACGATCTGGCAATACGATCTGGCAATACGATCTGGCACTATTTCAAAAGGCCTCGTGTTACAAACATACGGCATGCTATTTGTGGTATGTGGTATTATAAAAAGGTAATATCAAACTTAAGAGAGGGATTCCAGCCTGGGAGTCAAACTGCAATTTGGGAAGGATCTTGAGTAAAGCATCTGCGGAATGGATTAACAGGCTACAAAGTCATTTTTTAATAGTCATGTTCAGCTCCATGATTTATCTTCTTCAGGTACAAATAGCTACTAATAAGAGTAGCAAAAAGAAAAAGGTCTAGGCACATAAATAATGCCTGTGCACTGGAGGTTCTCCACCCGTATTCTAGGTATAAACACTCTTCTCTGTAGCTCATGAGATGTGATGACAGGAGTGACATGGGGAGGAGACAAAGAAAAGAATTAGGGACAAAGAAAACAGTGCTGACGGGGAAAAATGACTTAATGTGAGGGTTCGAGTGTAGCCTTTGCCTTACAGTATTTTTTTTTAAAAAAACAGGTGTCCAAACTAGTGTTTATTTCGTTATTCAACGGTAAAGCTTCTTTTAAAGTGTCCTTTTGTAACATCTCTTGCGGTGCCAACGGGCGGCTTAAGGGTAACCATAATTCAGAGTCAAAGGGGTTCAGGGACTTAATAAATGCTGGTCCCAGTACAGATACTTGAGGAATCACACTGTTCACATTCCTCCATTTTGGACCTGACTGCCTTCTATTTCCTGTCCTTCATTCTTCAATCTCTCATCTTATTCCAAGCCTGCTTTGTTTGCTTAGAAGTCTTCGGAGATTTTTTCAAAATATTTTTTGAAGTGCAGGCAAAGCAGTGTCTATGAGATAGTTTTGTTGATAAGTTAATTGAAACTTTCTAAGTACTCTAAAAGGTTAGTGAGACAGGACATAAAATTTCAGAAGGTGATTTTTGTTTTTAGCAGGATTTGCCCTTATGTTTGAGATTTTTATCCTTAATGTTTCCACAAATTTATCTGGATCCATAATTGATTTCAATTGCTATAATACAGTTTTCTCTACATCTCCTAACTTTGAGGCAATTTGGATGATTCTGAAAGTGCATGACATACTAAAATAGAAAATTCTGTCTTAAGTTGAGACTGTGAGCAATCTAGCAAGTAGAATTAAGGTGCAGGCAGAAAATGAAATATATATAACTGGTAACTTTGTCTGTTTTTTTCCGCCCTGATTATTTTAGCTGAGGAGGAGGCAAATGAAGAAGATGTATTGGGAGAAGAAACAGAGGTAAATATTCTTCTGTGTAAGACTGTTCTTTAGTCTTGTAACCCAGGTAACTTACATTATTCCCCATCCTGATCTTAATTGTTTTTTACCTTGGGGGGCAATTAACAGAATGCATAGCAGATCCATAGATTGTATTTTTGTCACCAGTGAGTTTGAACTAATAAATAATAGCACTACTGTTGCAAATACTTGTAGAGTATGATTTCCCCTTCCCCTCTGCATATGCAGGAATACTAATGATCAGGAGGAAATAATGGACTTGGATTTATCTGTATTACTGGGTTTGTACAATTTATGAGCTTTGAATCTCCAAATAAATATTCATATACTTTAGCTTACTTGCAGAACCAGCAGTAGTAAGGTAACCTCAGGATCCTTTCAGTTCTGTGATTCTCATTTGGCAATATTCTACACTGAACACAGTGGAACATACTTCTTAATAGATAAATAGCACTTGAATTTCAGTTGATCAGACAGTTGGGGTTTTTGTCTCCATCTTAGGGAAAACACCTACCTGTAAAGATTTGTTTTTAGCAATTACATCAGGGCAGATACTTCTGAATTCTGAAGTACCATGAAAGCTCTGCGATCAACTGGCATTGTAAAAAAAAAAGTTAATTTCTTGTCCTGTGTAATCAAGGGTTGGTACTTTAAAATTTTCTAAATCTCTTTGAATATTTACTAGAATTCTTTCAAACTTAGAAAGCTTGGATATAGTGTTCTGTATATTATTTTTCAAAAATTAAACTCACTCTAAAAACAGTAAGAAAGAAAATGGATGTTGTGAAGTATCTGGTGATTCACCAGCAAAACAGAGTGATTATCACATTCTAATTCCAGTTTTGGGTTAGTATTCACATTTTTAAAGAATGTGAACTGATTAATGACTTGCATTTATGAGTAATTAAAAAGCAGGAAGTGCTATACAATCTTGTATCTGAAAAATTTAGATTATTCACATAATCAGTAGTTTACAAAACCAGAATAGCTGTTTGCAAAGATATAATGATACTGTACATCTGGATAATTGGACACTTCAGTTTTAATCATTTTAGAACCAATTTGTGTTAAGAATTCTTGATGGCTTATGTTGGTCCTGTAAATAAATGTAGTGGGGAAGACTATGATGGGAAACTATGCTCTCTAAGAGGTTTATAAACAACTTATGACCTCCTCATAGATGTCAGTGACATGATCTCTGCAGGTCCCAAAGACCCATACACTCCAGTTCCAGAAATAAGTATGAAATGAATCTCTGACTTCCATACTGACTATGCAAGTTTGATTATATGTGCAGTCACTGTCTATAGAACCATCAGAAAGAGCTTTCAGGAGGAATATGAAGACAGGAAAACCAATTAGCCTGAACAGTCAACAGTAGGTTATATATACTAAAAATGTAAAGGAATTGCTGTGTTTGTGCTGAAATAATTTGACTTTTATGACCTATATAATCATGTATATTTAGCATTTACTGTACATTTAATTATATTTGGATTGTTATTCTCCTTCTACTAGTTGCGAAAAGAAGCAGGGAGTTACACAGGATACTGGACTATGTTTGCTCAGTCATCTGATTCTCTCATCCCATGCTTTTGAAACTTCAATATGTATTGCCCACATATCCTCAAATATGCTTTGTTTTTAAATGGAAGTGAAACTCATATGGCTAACATTCCTGACAGCTGTAGTCTTGCTTTTATGCTGTCTGATCATGGAAGTCATAAATGACTATGACTCTCATAGTCATGCCTTCTAAGAGGTTTGTAAACAACGTCACAAAAGTTACTTGCCTGATAATTTTTTACTGGTTCTCTAGGCAGCTGAAAACTATCTTTTCCAATCTTCTCCCTGTCAGTCCTGCAGAAGAAGAAGCCCCCTCTCTGCGTTCAGCGCTGTGTGCCAGCCATGACTGGAACTAAATGGGTGTCAACACTGGCTGTGTGTGTGCAGCTCTGATGCAGCAATGTGTGGCCGCACACCCATGCAGCTTAGAGGGAATGTTGGACTGAAGTCATTCTTGTAGCCCTCAGCAGCAGCAGCATCTATGAAGCTTAGTTTCTGTTCCCTTAGTTGACCCTCTACGTTTTTACTGTTGTATTTCAGGAAGAAGAACAGAAACCCATAGACACTCCTATCAAAGAGGAAGTAGCTACTGAGAAATCAACTGAAGTGTAATTATCTGTCCTTAATAGATTAGAATTGGTCAAACATTCATGTCTTAATATATATCTTCACTGTGTCTGTGACACCTGCTTATTGATATTTTGTTTATCTATGAATCTGATAGATAGATAGATAGATAGATAGATAGATAGATAGATAGATAGATAGATAGATAGATAGATAGATAGATAGATAGGATAGATAGATAGATAGATAGATACGAGAAAGTACACAGGTAGTAGAATGGACAAGGAAGAGTTATTAGGGATTACATTTGGGGAAAAAAGTCTTTAGAAAGTAAAATATGAGATGCCAGGAGGCTAAGTATAATGAACACAAAAAGTAAGTTAAACTTAATGTAGCTATTTTTTAAAAAATACATTTCTTTTCCATTGCATCAGAGAAGATTGTTGGAAAGAGAATTTGGAACTTAATGTAGCTATTTTAAAATTGACAGTCTCGTATTTGTTTATGGGACATCTAAACTTCATCGAGTGCAGAAATTAGGAATTTACTTATATTGTGTTTGGGGCATATGTATTTAATCTGTATAAATGAAGGTGTTATTTTTACCAAGCTATTTCATTGACAATACTGTATATTATCTTTCTTTATGCGTATGTGAAGCAGAGAATCTGGCATTTAATTCTAGTAAGCATCCCTAGGTATTTAAAAAAAAGACTGTTTGATGGTCATCCCAGCATTAACAAAGACAAAACAAAGTTACCCAGTTGCATGCTCATTCTCATTCCACATCAAGGAACAGCCAAGTTGTAAAAAAGAATAGGGCCACCTGTGTCAACGGCATGCTTTAAAGACTAAAAGAGAGAAGCAAATTGCCCATTTGTCCCTAGTGCCATTCGTCAACTGAACATTTGAAGGAATACACAGCTTACTTCTGACCTGATAAAGCAGGCTTGCACACAAACAGTATTATAAAAAGAGGTCAAGGAGGGTGAGCTAGTACCTCCCACAGCAGTTGCCCTGCATCTCCTAAGAGGTTGCCTCATATTTTGAAAACCATGATTTTATGATAGAAAATAGAAGGCTTGTGTCGGGTTTTAAGCACTTCTCATGTACTTGTTTTCCAAGCTGTTTTCGGCTTTCTTACCAGATTCTTGCAGATGACCCCTTGATACAGTAATCAGTTTGAAATGTCCTGGGATACCTGAGAGAATGGGCCTTGAAATTAACCTCCTTAATTTTAAGTATTTTTACCTGCTTTTTAATGAAGGGGACACTCAAGCCTCTAGTAATAGACAAACAATTCACTATGCAGCAGCAGTTTTTGCAGCAGAAGTATAATACTTTATATCTAGTTAGTTCTGTGCTGTTAAGTCAGAAATTATGTATAGCAAACCTAATAGGACTTTCAAGGTAAGTGAGATATTTAAGGGGTGGTTATACCACATCCACTCCCCCAGAGTTTCCATGGCAGATTGTGAATTTGAACCCAGCCTCATGAGTCCTAGTCCATCACTCTGTTTACTGCACCACACTGTATACCAAAATATATCCAGTTACAGGATGATAAACAGAATTTTAAAAAATCCAGTAGTCCTGTCCATCTTCATTCCATTTTCTGGCTTTTTCCAACTGCAGAGAAGGTTGGAAAGTGATTTTCAAAAAAATCTTTTTCTCAAATGGCAAAATAGGTTAAAATATAAGTTAAATTGTTAACTTCTAATTTGTTTTGAAGTGCTCCTAGAAGAAATTAAGGTATTAAATTGTTTATTTTATCATTCCCATTCTAGAGTGCCCCTATTCTGACTGAAATCTAGTTGTTCTCTTTGTAATTGCAGCATACACTTTTTCAGACTTTTTAAAAATCAATTGCTGTAGTTTAGCATTTCTCAAACAGTAGGGCTTGTCCCCTGGAAGGGGGGATGTATCAGGGTTTCAGAGGAGGTGTGTGCAGTTTAAAAAACCATCAATATTATATGTATTTTAAAATATAGAAACAGGAGAAAAAGAATTACACCCATCACATTTTTAGTATGCAGCTTGCTGAACCATCCTGTGTGACATGCAAGAGTGTACATACTCCCCTTAATCTGTCTTTATCTCTAGTGATGCTTTGGCGTAGAGTTTGTTCTATATGGATGATACCATATTGAACCCCACAGCTAGATTATGTCCTGGAAACACAGTTTCTCCACCTTCCCCATTTTACAGCTGGCAAGTTTGAAGATGGCATGGTTTTAAAAACGTTTTTAGAACGGGGCATGCATTCAAAAGATTATGAAACAGTGCTGGAGATAAGTAATAAAACTTTTGCTTTGCATTTGATTGGGTGTGCAAAGCCTGGTGCCTCCTTTTTTTCTATAGAAAAAATTCTTGTTTTTTTCACAGCAAAATTTGAGTGAATTATTTTCTAGTTGATTTTAAGTTAACAAAACAGGGATGCCATGGCTTGACAGCCTAGATAGGTATGTCAGGAGCTACTGTAGAGGCAACGTACTGTAGTAGAACGTATAGCACTCTAGCATGATCATTTTCAGTTTTAATTATGGCTGACTCACAGTGCAGTGCAGCAAGATTATAACATGTGAATCACTCCTTTTGTTTTCTGCACAGATGTAGATGAAAGTACTTACTGAATGAAACTTACAGGCTCGAGTTCCTGACCATCAAAATCTGCAGGGGCTGCAAGTTGCTTGTGAATTACTGGAGTGTTTAATCTGAGTGCTCCATAGCACGTTTTGCTCATACAATTTCTAATCGATTCAAAAAGGCTATGTAAACCATAAAGTTTGCCAAAATCCCACTCAGTGTTTCTGAAGCTTGATTTTAGAGGCCACAATTATGTGTATTTTAATGCAGTGCGAAGTTCTAGACGGCAGGGGGTGCCCTTCCTCCATATCACAATTAGAAGACTGCAAAGAGTGCTGCAAGTATAACAAGTCCCTGGTTCCTGTTCTGAATTGCTTCCTGTGAAAAAGTCATTAAACCATTACTACCTTTCAGGGCATAAAATGGGAAAACTGTCCAGGAATCTAGAACAAAAGCCATCCATTTCTCTAAATGGGAGACCTTAATGAGTCAGGCTATGACCCACTGTTTTATGGGAGCTGTTTGGAGGAGGAGGATACTGTTTCATTTAGCCTGGGAACTTCCGAACTTTGTATCTTCCTCCTTTGTTTTCTCTTGCAAACCTCAACCCTGTTTTCAGAGCATAAACTTCGAAGCACGCCCACTCCATTATATTTTTGTTCAAGCTGTTTACTGGCTCCCATTGCACGTTGTTAAAGAAGTGTGTGTTTGAAATGGAGCTAAAGCTGACCTGGCTAAAAGTCAACCGTAACTGCCCCATGGACTAACTAGAACAGAGCAGCACCTTTGTGAATATATATATGGCCATAAAGATTCCTGGGGCACATAACACATGTACAGATTCTTCATTGTGATAATTATTCCACATGTACCTCCAGTAATTCTGTATACATGTGATTGAAGACATGCTGTCTAAAACGTGCTGCTTGTGCTGCTTATATCTAAAATCTCATACATGTATTTTTTTAACATTTTATTCGTTAATCCATATATGCAAATTGGGGGAAAATGTACAAAGTTTCCTTATAAGTAAAGTAACAGAGAAAATGTGAAGCTTATTTAAGTCCTTAAATTGCTGCCTATTTACAGCTCTTTACTATGAAACTTCCATCTTTGAAATGAGTTTATATGTCATTACATAAGCATGTCTCTCCAGAATACACCATTTACCTAACTTCTGTACGAGGCATCCAAATATTTGATGAACAATCAGAAAAGAGTTTGGCTTGCACTGAAAGACAGTGAATTTGGAAAACAGTAGTTTAGATAGTTGGATTCCTCTTATGCCCCTGGATCAGGAGTCTTCATGCTTTGCCAGTGCCTTGTGTTCTTCCCATGCTTTTGAGTTGAATGACATCTGTTTTACTCGGAGCTGAAGATAATTTCATTCCTTTCAGTATTGTACAGATAACCATGAATTGTTGTTGTTTAGTCGTTAAGTCGTGTCCGACTCTTCGTGACCCCATGGACTAGAGCACGCCAGGCCCTCTTGTATTCCACTGCCTCCCGGAGTTGGGTCAAATTCATATTGGTAGCTTTGATGACACTGTCCAAACATCTTGTCCTCTGTCGTCCCCTTCTCCTCTTGCCTTCACTCTTTCCCAACATCAGGGTCTTCTGTTCTCATGAGATGGCCAAAGTATTGGAGACTCAGCTTCAGGATCTGTCCTTCCAGTGAGCCCACACCAAAATTCAAAAGCATCAATTCTTCAGCAGTCAGCCTTCTTTATGGTCCAGCTCTCACTTCCATACATCACTACTGGAAAAAACCATAGCTTTGACTATGAGGACCTTTGTCTGCTAGGTGGTGTCTCTGCTTTTTAAGATGCTTTCTAGCTTTCCTCCCAAGAAACAGACATATTTTAATTTCATGGCTGCTGTCACCATCTGCAGTGATCATGGAGCCCAAGAAAGTAAAATCTGTCACTGCCTCCATGTCTTCTATTTGCCAGGAGGTGATGGGACCAGTGGCCATTATCTTAGTTTTTTTGATGTTGAGCTTGAGACCGTTTTTTTTGCTCTCCTCTTTCACCCTTATTAAGAGGTTCTTTAATTCCTCCTCACTTTCTGCCATCAGAGTGTTATCATCTGCATATTAGAGGTTGTTGATATTAATTCCGGCAGTCTTAATTCCGGTTTGGGATTCATCCAGTCCTGTACTCTGTCCTCCAATTCTAGTTCCTTAAATCTGTTCTTCACTTCCACTGTATACTCATAAGTGATTTAGTTTAGATTATACCTGACTAGCCCAGTGGGTTTTCCTACTTTCTTCAGTTTAAGCTTGAGTTTTGCTATAAGAAGCTGATGATCAGAGCCACAATCAGCTGCAGGTTTTGTTTTTGCTGACTGTATAGACCATCTTTGGCTGCAGAGAATGTAATCAATCTGATTTCGGTATTGCCCATTTGGTGATGTCCCTGTGCAGAGTCGCCTCTTCGGTTGTTGGAAAAAAAGT